GGTTGGCGGCATGGATCCCTGTGGACACCGGTTCAAATCCCGCTCGTGTCAACGATTTTTTTCAATCAAATATATAGCTTTTTCTCTAAGTTTTATTTTTTAATACAGTATTTTTTGTTTGTTTATTTGTTTGTTTGTACATAAGAATCTTATTATCTAAAAAGCAAACTTGAACTAAATGAAAGCTTTTTTAAAATTCTAATTGTACTTCATACAATCTAAGCAGAGTGAACGAGTTTATCCCTACAGCCTTCTAATATATGTATAAATGTAAAAAGTACTATAAATCCCTACTTACCGTTTTTTTGTATTCTACTATGGGGGTCATATTTGCGTCTGTTACACTGATCAATTTTTATCACTTACTATCTAGTTGGTAGAACCTGTATGAGCCGTTAATTTATTTCAATGAGCCAGAATTGAACCCTGATCCTTTAGCACTCAACGCGATGGTGTGCAATGCGTTTATCTATAATAATAGAGAGCTAGAAAAGCACTCATGAATCATAAAGACGGTCAGCATAATTATTACAATAACTTACATTGTAAAACATTGTAATTTCTTTTTTTGACATGGCAAGCATGGTTCACTCGATGGCAAGTGAATTACCCCACATACAACATGTAAACTAGATGTGGTGTCGACCTATTTTGGCGTTGGATATTCGGAAATCCAGAGCTTTTTCGTCTTCTACTGAATTTTGATATTCCTACTACCTATTTAATATTCAGATTTCCAAACGTAGTCCAAGATACTGTCTATCGTTAACGCGAGTATGTAATACTTTAAATACATTTAAATAAAACACTTTAACGGTTTAAAACGCGATATATGCTTTGCAGCAGCCGTCTCCCCATGACAAGTAGTCCAAGATGTTTCGAAAAAAAAAATTGATTAGAAACCTGTTGGGGACCAACAGTTTTCTGGCGGGGATCGAATCCACGACCCGTTTATTATGAGCCATACATTGCTCCCATTAGAGCAGAAGCCCGTCCAAATTACAGCCAATGCCTCATGACAAAGGTTGCGCCGCGTGGTCTAAACAAGGGCAGGACCAACCCTTGTAATTTGTAAAATGTTATACCCTTGCCGTTTTATGCGTTACATTCGCGTTATAACCGCAAAATTGTTTTTAGTTCAAAGTTCTATATCAAAATTGGAAATAACACATTGAATTATAGTTGGCACTATCAATTAAGTACTTAATATCATTTAAATCACATGTTAACGGTTAAAAACGCGAAATATATCGGTTAAACTTATTTTATTAATGGCCCGACGTTCGACCACAGACAATTCGATCCAGTAAGGAGTGAGATTAGCGCGTTTAAACAAACAAACTGTTCAGCTTTATAATATTAGTATAGAGAAAAATAATATTTATTAGTTCGCTAATTCGACTTAGATCCTAAAAGTTTAGATATCAATTGACTTATTTTATATTTTAGTCGAAAAATGTTAATCTTCAAGAGCACAGTAACCGAAATTGTTGACATAATTCTTACACAAATTCACTTTCGCCTAAATTAATTACGCATTTTATTTTCCTATGTATTGAAAATTACGTTTTTTTGTTATTAGGCCACTCTGCCTCTAGCAACCTCATATTCAAATGAATTTGCTAACATCACTGTGCAATGAACAAACACATTCTTCAAAATTAAATAAGTTTCCATTAGCGAAAGAAGAAAAAGTTGGCAACTAAAGGGAACACTGCGATTCTGTTTAACAAGTTTTAACGGAGAATTGGCGAAGTTTAAAATTGAAACTCATTCTTACGCTAATAAGGGTCTCGAAACAAGTGGATCAAGGCAATTTGCTAGGCAGCCCTACTGATTTTATAATTACACTGTAATGAGGAAGGAAATGCTTAATATAATCTCAAATACTGTTGTAAGTGTGCTTCAGAGTTGCACAAAATTTTTCGCCCGCTAAAATACTTCGGCGTTAGATATGAAGCAATTTTCAATTTGCCCAATTCATAGACTAAGTGGTCAATGCAGGGCTATTGCGGCGAATATTCTGAAATAGTCCAATAATTTAAGCAATGTTTCGTAAAATGAACGTGTAGACAGCTTGAACACGGCAATTTAAACGTTCCGGGGAGGAATGTGAGGATTCCCGGTTAGAATTTACTATTCGTACATTTATTACTCGCTTAGTTGTTCGAATCGTTCGTTCTGAATAGTTCGAGGGGAAAATTATTGTCATGGTTGCGGGCGAAAACCCAATATTACTAATAATTAACATTTTAAATAAAACACTTTAACGGTTTAAAACGCGATATATTAGTTAAACTTATTTGTCAATGATTTTTAACTTCGGCCCGACGTTGCAGCAGCCGTGGTCACGGGGAAACTCAAATAAGTTTAACTAATATATCGCGTTTTAAACGGTTAAAGTGTTTTATTTAAATGTGTACTACTCGCTCGAGTAAACTATACACAGTAATTAATTAATATTATCATTTTAAAAATAAGTGATATTGAATACAATGTCACTTAAATTACTAAAAACAACTTCAACTTAAAAAATTTACCAATACTTAAGAATTATTTTATTTATCATAGTAAAATTCGGTGGATCTTTAATGCTATATATTATGTCAAGAAAAGTATATCATAAGATTCAAAGTGTAACATAAAAGTGTTAACAAATTTACTCTAGGAGTGACGTATATTAATAATAATAAATAATTTAGTAGGTATTAGAACAATGTATATATTTTTTCAATACTTTAAGAAAAGTCTCACGTGGTACTTTATAATTCTAGTGATCATTTCAATAAATTCATCCGCCAACAAACAAACTAAATGTTCTGGACATAAATACGATGCTTAGTGCTCACATTATTTCTGATAAGATTAAAAAATTTCACGCTTTCCACCTCGTCGCTCAAAAGGATACAACGCTAAGTAACTTGGACCTATTTCGTTCAACAATTTATTCAAGAGACTTCGTAACAAGGCGGACAATGACACTTTGAAAAGAGACAGGGACATAATTATCTTCTTTCTTTAGCGAGCGCTTGACTTACAACAAAGTGGAGGATCTAGACGTAATCTAAACAAAATAATTGTATCTGTATTTTGACGTAAGTATACAAATTTAAAAATCGAAAATAAATTGAAAAAAATTTCGACTCGGGCAGGACTTGAACCGGCATCGTCAGCTTTCCGTGCTGTTGCTCTACCAATTGACCAACCGTGTCGAAAACCATCAATTTAAAGTGATTTTTAATTTTTCTACATGTAAAAATATTAAAGTAAAAACCTAAAACACTAAACTATACAGAATATAGCTAGTTCTAGCAGCTACTAAATCCCCTATTAAAAAACACCGAAGGAATATTTTAGTTTGCAACAGCCGGTGGCTTAATGTGAATATAGGTAATCCCTAACCCTGCAGGTGATGTTAAATTGAAATTCTGTGTCGGAAACTACAATCCTCTACGTATACTGCATTTAAATTTCATCCGAGCTAAACCCGAGTATCGATATTTACTCACCTGTGTATTTTAAATTTCGCAAAAGACGCGAACCAACAAAAGCGCCAAGGTTCAATAGAAAAGGGTCAAACAAAGGGCGTTTGTTAACATGTTTCTTAATTCTAAAAGATCGCTTGGGATCCTGGGTTTGAATCTCGACAATGCATGATTAATGGTTTTGGAACATGGCGGACCTATCCTTTATCCCTAAAACATATGGCAGACATAACTCAAATTCACAGGGGTTTGACGTCAGTTATTTTAAAGTTATTCTAGCAACACTAATAAATAATAGGAACAAAGAAGTGCAATAATTATTTCTTGCGCATAAAGAAGAACTCTTTTGCACTGATTTCAAGAAATATCTCATAGACTTAGAGTTACCATAAAAAGAAAAAGAACTGTAGTTAACATTAAACTCATATTTTTCCATTTGTCTCCACTTCCCTGAATCATTGTGTTCTATCAATAGCAGTTATGCCATCAAATGAAATCAATGAACGTGGAACAAAAAATCTATGAAGCTGCATATTTTAGTGTACAGTTACATAAACGTTCACGTTTGTGACGTGTTTCGGGAAATTGAATTTCCAAAAAACGCGAATAAAAGCATTCAGTGTACATTGTTTGTCATACGTATTTTCATTTACCTCTTCTCGGAACTAGTGCATACGTGAGGATTTATAAACTGCTTTTAGTACGTTATTTTTTATTGCTGCGCCCGCGGTGTTAGTTATCGACTAAGTGTGGGTCGGACTCTCGTTGGAATGGTTCTGTACCATTCACTTGGTACTTATCAGTAGATACACAAATTTTATATCGTAACCACAGACAAACAGAAAGTATAGTATTAGTACTATGGATCCTTTTTACCTTAAAGGTACGTAACCCTAAAAATGAGGAATGGAGGACACCTACCTATTTCATATCCCTTTGACTAAAACAGTAATAAACTAGTAGTGACTAGACCATACTGTGCCAAATAAATATTAATATTTATTTGAGCCAAACAATCGCCTTTTGTATTGCTTTTAGATATTATAAAAACCAACACAGTTCTTTTTTTTATTAAAAATTAACAACGAACGAACTACTAAACAATTATATTAATATAATGAGACTTGTCACTTAAAAGTAGTCGATTTTCACGTAAATAAAACAACAGATACTTATAAAAATAATTTATTCATCTCATACCTACTACTTACAGTTAACTTAAACCACATAAGTAATCAAACTTAGAAATATACATTCTATACAAGAATCCAGCCACATGTTACCTATTAAAACACACGCTGACTCAAATACGAATCTTGTAGCAATAAATAACACGAGCGCACCTGCCGTCTTGAATACCTGTCATTGGTGACTAGATAAATCCAACCTAGCCTGAGTATTCAAACTACCATTTATATCAAACAATTCAGCGGGAATTAAATGAGCACAAACAGGCGACATCCATTAAGAAACAAAATCTATAAATATATGTACAAGGTTGTCTACTTTAAAGTTTTACCGGTAAATCTTATCTTCGTGGGGGGGCAAGCTTATGAAATATGGCGCGGGCGGTGGAGGGGCAAGATATCGGACTGAACCCGGTCCGGTTTGCACTTTGTGGGGCAACGTCGCTGTTGATAGCGATGGTGGAGGTAAAGTCCCAGCGTACCCGGGCCACGCTGGTCCCCATAAAGGAGCTGCTCCAGCCCCGGGGCTGTTAGCCAACGGACCACCCCTATACGACGTACTTGTCATGCGCAAACGCACTATACATATTGCGATTATCAATATAGCTATGAAAGCTACTACGCCACCTACAATACCGATGATCAAATTGTCATCATTACTCGAAGCGACTCCGAGAACTGGCGCACCTTTAGGTTCTCCCGTGACCTTTGGCCTTTCGTGTGACGGCGCGACGGACCAAATAATATCAGGCTCAAGTGAGGTTCGATGCAGACGCGGCGGATATGTTGTTGAAACGCTAGAACTGGATGATGAAGTGGCGGTTGTTCGTCTCCTCGTGTCACAAGATAGCTCATCATCACCTATTTCAACTAATAAAAATCCTGATAGGTGATCTGGAGAATCACATCTTACATCTTCCACGCCCACAGTTGGGAGCCACCTGCGTAGGGCTCTTGCATTACAATCACATTTAATTGGATTTGTGTCTAAACCGAACATAGATAGATCAGCACGCCGATCGTCAAGTGCAACTAATAATTGTGGTTGTATTGTATTAAGCTGGCTACCACTGATATCTATAGTTACGCGAGACGACCTTGGCAACGGGAATAACAAAGCGGGCGGAAGATTCGACATAGATGTGTTTCGGAATCTAACTGTTATCGCTGGTGCTTTTAAACCAGCCAACACTCCTGATGATACCGTCTTAAGACGAGATCCTCTTATACCCAATTCTTCCAAACGTGGATGTAAAGTTGAATGCAGCTGATCAGCGCCGATGTTAGTGTCCTTAAATTCGACATCGAGTTTTTCCAGAGCTAAAAAGTATTGTAAGGCTCCCTGTACGTCGAAGTATCCCAAACGTGGATAACCATATGCTCGAAGTTCAACTAAATTAGATAACGACCTGAACGCATTCTTTTCGATCTTCGTACATTTCTCCATATTCCTAATGTCTAGAATGCGCAACGACGACAACCCGTCGAAGTTTCCTTCTAAAATAACGGTTACTGGATTATCAGAAATATTTAACATTTGTAAATTTTTGAGTTTTGGCCACGATATTGACAGTGAATTAGTTATATCCGTTATTTGGTTGTGGGATAAATCCAAAGATTCTAACAATGTCGTTCGCATAAATGTCTTTTCCGATAATTTTGTAATATTGTTGTAGGATATATTCAATCTGTATAAAAATGGTGTTTCTAGTTGACTCACAGTTTTCATTCCGGTGCCCGCGAGATTAAGATCTCTAACTGTTTTTGGTTCAGTCATAACGCTTAAAACAGATTTCTCAGACAGTGGATTGAATGACAAATCTAGTTTCTTAATGTTTACCATTACACTGTCTTCAGCTGGAATGTCGACAATATTATTATTAGACAAGTCAACAGAAGAGACGAAGAAATATTGCTTTTGCAAGGCCTTCAAAGGAGGTTGTTCAAATATATTATGACTCAGTATAATACTTTCTAGCATGTGCAACCTCGATCTATCGAAAATGTTATCCGGAAGTTCAAATAACAGATTTCCAGCCAAGTTCAACATCTCAAGTCTTATAAGCCCCTCAAAAAGTCGGTCACCTAATCTATCTATTTTATTGTAGGATAAATCTAGATGTTGTATTTGACTTGAATTGTGGAAAGCCATTTCACTCACTGTTTCAATTTCGTTACGAGCTAATAGAATAGTTCTCAACTTCGGAAGTCGTGCAAAGTCTAGCTCATCGACGTTTTTCAGAGCGTTCCCAGATAAGTCAACCGATTCCAAATATTGTAAAGTACTTATAAGTTCGGAGGGGAAGAAGTTGAACTTGTTGTTTGTTAGAATAATTTCTCTTAAACGCGGATGTATTTTAAACGAAGAGGGGAACAGATAGCTGAGTTGGTTATCAGAAATATCTATTACCTCTAAACTAGTTCCGGTGTTAAAGAACTCTCCCTTGAACGCATTCAGTTGATTTCCCTTAAGCGATAAGTATTGAATGGACATAACGTTGACAAAGGCCGGCGGTCTTATTGTAACTATGTTATTGTACGACAAATCGAGATGAGTCAGGTTTTTCAGATTCTTAAAAGTTCCCTCGGAAATTTCTTGTAGATTGTTATACGATAAATAGATTCGTTCTAAATTACGATTTTTCGAGAAAAGATTAACAGGCAGCGCTTTTAATCCGACATTGCTTATATCCACTACTAACAAAGCGTCATTATGATTGAAGACGCTCTGTGGAAGTACGCTCATATGCACATTGTGGCTCATATTCAAGTGCGACAGACTCGGTATCGATTCAAACGCGTTCACCGGGACTTCGGAAATTTGATTGCCCGATACATCCAAGAACCACAAACTGACGAACTTCAGCTGTTGATCGGTGAATCCTAAAATCCTATTCTGGCTGAGAGACAAAAACTCGAGTGAAACCTCCAATCCGCTAAAGACTTCAGCCGAAATCGAGTTCAAAAGATTTCCAGATAAATCCAAGTGCTGTAAGTTTTTGAAGTGATCGAATGCCGCCGGGGGCAATTCTCTAATAACGTTTCTTGAGAGGACGAGTGAGTTGATTCTATCTGATACGGCCCGAAGGATGTCGCTCGAGAGCGCCGTGACGCGGTTGAAGCCAAGGTGTACTGATGTGAGACTCGGGAGGCGAGACAAGGCCACAGCTGGGATGAGAAGAATATTGTTATCTCGTAATAACAGCGTCTGAAGATTTACAAGACCGTCGAACGCGTCGTCCTCCACCTGAAAATAATATTAAAATTATTAATATCACAGTTCCTCACATTCAGTGAAAGAAGTTATGTCAAAGTTCTTAGAAGATCTTTGACATAAGTTCTAGAAAGTAAATCAAGGTTATTCACAAATAATTAAATTCAATACCTTCTGTAGTTTACGCGAGTAGTACACATTTAAATAATACAGTTTAAAGGTTTAAAACGCGATATATATTATTTTTACGCGTTAGCGTAGCGGTGTTTACTTTTACGTCAGAAACACCCTCCATCTTTAGTCTCCCCGTGACCACGGATGCTGCAAAGCATCCGAAACACGGGCCGTAAATCATCTCGAAATAAGTTAATATACATCACGTTTTAAGCCGTTCAAGTATTTTATTTAAAAAATTAATTATGTTCTTTATAAGTATGCAATAATTGATTGTAGACACATTATTAAATGTAAATTGTCTATTCCTTTAATAGTTTCAATAGTAAACTTAGGAACAAAACTTACAGTTCTCAAAGAGTTGACTCCAATATCCAAATAACGCAGGTCGCTCACACCGACAAAAGTGCCCGGGGATAGTTTCACAATGTTATTGCGGCTCAAGTCAAGAACTTGCAGCGAAGAGAGAGAATTGAGATGGCTGCTATCCAAGTTCTAGAAAATATATTAGAAAACGATCAAATTATCTATTATTTCGAAATACTAAAAATTTATTGTAATGAAAATTATATAGTGATAGTAGCTACAAGTGACCGACAATTTGTGATCTCTCTTTGGGTTTGAAAATAAGTGATGGAATAATGTATAATAATAAAAAAAAATGTTTCAGCTGCCCCATAAAATTAGGTTACAGTATTCATAATATATATTATTTTTATATAACTAAGAAGAACAGACAATCCATATAACATCTAAGCTAGGGTCGACTCATTTTGGCTATGGACATTCGGAAATCCACAGACTGAAACGAACTTTTTTATCGATGATGGTTCGTTACGTGGATGGAGTTATAATAAACCTTCATTCATGTCCAGACGAACTCCAACATTTTTCAGAAAAATCACTTGACGCATATAGTTTGAAACTAATTTACTAGTTATATTAAAGTTGGTTACGTATGTCAGTAGTCTAAATATTACCCTTAAAACACGAAAATAACACTTGTCATTTTCAAATCACATATCTCTCGTCACTTGAATACAAATAACTAACTCGTGTATAGAATTATGGACTTACCGTGATCATGTTACTTGACAGATTCAAGTGTTTTAGGCCCGTGAAGGCTTTGAGGGCGACAGTTGGGAAGTCGCTAATAAAGTTTTCGGAAAGGTCCAACTTCTCCAAGTTTTCTATGCCTTGGAACACGTCGCTATTGAACTTGGAAAGCTTGTTACGGCCTAAGTCCAAAGTTTGGAGGTTGGTTAAACTAACGAACGCGCCGCCCTCTATGCTCGAGATCATGTTTCCGTGTAGATCTATTTCTTCGATCGTCTTCTGTGATATGAATGACGCTTGACGGATCAGAGCTGGAAGTTTTAAAAAGAATATTAAATAACAAGAACAAATAGTTAATTGTTTCGTAATTTAAATAAATATATGCATAGAAATTATATAGATTACAACTTCAGAGAATATTTTGATTGAAAAAAAAACGTATTGGACAAGACTTGAACCGGCATCTACAGCGTTTCGGCAGTTACAGCCGCTGTTCTAACGTAATGTCGTATTTTTTAAAATCTAAATAGATTTTGTATTTATTTAATGTCGCTTGTGAAATATATTAGAAATTTCAAACATATATTATAAAATAATTTTACTTAAATTTTCTGCCTGTATGATCCGCCGATGCGACTTAACGTCATTTTGTTTATTTGTTTATTTTACATAAAATAGTGAGAGCCTTAAACAAATATACCTAACGTTTCACTTATTTATACCTATTTGTCGGGAATATAACAACTGTATAACACAATAAACGAAATATCTAAAAAACAAGAATAAAATGTAACATCAACTTTAAAACTAAAACATAAATAATAAATCGTATAACTTTTGATAATTAGGATCTCACTAGGAACAATATCGACTGAATGAATTTTTTTGTTATAATCACAGCTTCTAACAATGAAATAATTTTTCACGTAGATAGTGCTCGCTACGGGAATATGAAATGGATGTTTGGTGATATGTATATTTGTTATAAAACGTATTTGCGTATCAAATCGATTATTTTATTACTAGTACGTCCCTGAGGTAACACATTTTGCCTAACGTTTCGTCATTGAAAGCGATCACTTAATCTTCGAGTCGCGTTTATTGCGAAAACTTCGACAGTTATACCTCTTAAATATTATTTTAGGCGTCTTAGGCTTTTCCAAATGGACGCGGGAAGTTTCCGCGAAGTTTCACAGACTTAGGGAAAGCCGTAAAGTGTCTTTTGCGTTCAGACGGGAGAATTTTTTTCAACTTACCTATTCTGTTTTCCCTGAGCGAGAGAAGTTTTAATGAAAGCGGTCCGTTGAGAGAGGAAGATGGTATGGAGATCATATTATTTCGGTCAAGACGTAACATCTGGAAAGAAGATGAAATTTAAAAATAAATTGCGGAATCTGGTGACCAGACAGTTGGATTTACGAGAACACGTTCAGCCGATCCCATTTTTGTCTTCGTCGTTGTCATTAACTTAACTGTTAACCAACCAACCTACCCTCGTCTTATAAACCTACTAGATCAAAACTAGAAGAGAATCAAATAAGACTGACAAATGTTACCTATCTTGTAAATGTTTATCTAAAATTGAGCAATACAAACGCAATGCTCTTTTAGCATTGGCATTCAGAATAATAGTTTCGTGACGCCTCTTAAGCACGGATTCGAACCTATGATCTACATAGGTTTGAATCGAAACATAATTCTGTCAACCTAGCAACAAAAGTCTAACCAACTAAGCCTGTAAATAAGAAGAATCAGTGAACGGACACAGGGGGAAATGTGGCCTTTTTTTTATGTTAGAGGAAAGGAGGTGAAATACTACAACCATTAAATATCTAAATAAGGTTCAGGTGGCGACCTATTTTTCGCTTTGGATATTTGGAAATCACCTAGACTAGACTAGACTGGACAACTGAAACCGAACCTAGATTAAACTTCACGGATTTTTCATCTATGTGTGTCTGTTATACGTGAGCCGGACAGAATCACTACCACTGCACTACACTTTAATATCCAGATTACCGAATGTCTAACATGTTTCAAAAAAACTTATAAATTGATTAAATTATTGGACCCAGTGGGGATCGAATCCACGACCTGTTGATTATTAGCCATACATTACTTTTAACCTGCCAGTGTCAAATAGATACTTTATCAAAAACTTTACTAGTATAATCGATACATTTTGTTTGTATCATAGCAACGTATCCTTCTGGATTTACGGTATTAGCACAGAACATAAAGTAGAACCAACAATGTGCATACCAGACGAGTTGCAAGCACGAGAGAGAATTTACAACAAACCTTTTTACTCAGTTTGTTAACTCCTTTGTGTATACTGAAAGCCGACAAATGACGGCTGAATCGTGAAAAGCGTGATTAAAAATGGCGCCGGCTTTAAACGCTACGGCGTAGGAGTGCTACGATAAACTAGAATTGGATCTCAACAAGTAAACAACTTGAAAATTAAGTCGTAGGCCCTTATCTAAAATTAGAAATGGTTTATCCTTATCTAAGGCTTTTTGATTAAGCATTCTCCGAAAGATATTATAAGATATCAGAAATGATTTTATTAATGACGTCATTAAATATTTAGCTAATTAGAAACTCATAATGTTGATTAATTTAATTGTTAGGCAATATACATAATATTTTTAAAGTCTGCAGAACGAATCTGCTGTACAACTATTTTTTATTCGTTGTTTACGCGAATAGTACACATTTAAATAAAACAATTGTAACGATTTTAAACACTAAATGTATTAGTTAACTTATTTATAAATTATTTTAACCTAGAGAGAGTTTCCCATGACCACGGCTGGTGCATCCGAAACATTAGGCCATCGTTAAACAGTTTTATTGAAATTTAATTTATAAACATTTGATCAAGCCACCCATGAAAAAGTGTAATTATAAAACCAACGACATTGTTTTTTTTAATAAAGATAACAAACTCCGTGCCAACTAAATTCTATGTGGAAAATTAACATAATTCGAACCAAGTACCTTGCGACCCGCAGTCGAGAGAACAAATCACTAGATCAACGAGTACTATATATAAAAACGTTTCCACCCGTGGGGGAATGGGGAGAACACATTTCTGATTTCGTTTCACTGGTTAGTTTTCTTTACAGGCAAATAGTTAATCAGACTTCTCTCTGATTGAGACTCTGCCCGATTAAAACAATCTATTGCTTCCCCGGGATTAGAATCCAGGACCTCTCGCGCTTAGCAATGCTAGGCAACATGTTTACCCATTTAGATAGTGTATTGGTTTACTTGTACATAATGACTAAAACATACCTTCATAACATTACAGCCAATCAGCAGACCTTCCTCCAAGCCCCTTATATTGTTTCCACTAAGATCCAATTCTTCCAACGATGGTAAGTTATGCAGTTCCGCGGTTGAAAATATGGGATTGAGGTTGTCTCCAAGAAGATTGTCAGATAGCACCAGCTTCGTCAGGTTGCCACGGATGCCAAATAAAAGACGATCGGGTAACCGCCTTAGACTATTATGGGAGAAATCTAGTTCTTTCATTGGCAGACCGTATGAGGAGAATATCTGGAAAAAAGAAAATTTATTTTAAATACAAATGTGGCCTAAAAAGAAGTGGAAGGTTTCTTGCCAATTCTCTTTGTTCGTTCTATGCCCTTGATTTGAGAACTGGCGTGACGTTCATGAGTGTACCTGGTCTTATTGTGGCCTTAAGTAGGAATTTGCTTGCATTATTCACTAGTTGGATAACTAAAAATTCTTGGTGGAAATCATCCGATAAATGACTGATTGATAACCTGACCGTCAACCGGTATTACCAAATGAGAATATTAGTAATATATTAAAAATATAATTGTTGTATTTCACGCGCTATAAAACTATCAGAAAAGTTATAATGACGACAGAGAAGTTATAAGAGACAGTGCATCAAGTTTAAATGTTAAATAGATTGGATCACTTTCTATAATAAAGAAATGTTTAATTTATTTGATACCTTTTAACAATTATCTAAAAATGATAACAACTCGCCACCTTCCCCTCTATATTATTATCTTAACCAAAAAAGGGTGTATCCTGCCACTACAGCTGACTATATCCCTATGAGTAAAACAAAATAAAATACCAGAAGGCATTCATTTGTCAGCTCCGGTTTACGTTTCAGCAATTCAACCACAATTTCAATATAAATTAAACAATCAAATATTGTTTTGATAACACGATATTAAACGAATAATAAATGTTATTCGAAAACGCGACATTAGTTTTATTGGTCGCGTTCTGCGCATTGTTTTGTATGAACTGTTTGAAATTGCTTTTCACTATTCATGTTTCTACATAAAAAAATTATGATGGCAAATGATGGCAATATTATAACTTATGTTGTTTGAAATGAAATATGTTGTCTGTCACCGAGGGCTCTTTAAAATAATTTAAACAAAATTAAAATATATTGTTTAAATTCTTTGAAAGAGCCTTTGATACATCACACATTGAAAAGTGTGATGTATTAAATTATGGAGCAGTGTATTCAAACTTCTGACGGGCTCGTGGGTGTAATGGTACGGTCCCCACCAGGCCCAACGTGTTTCAAATTTTTCTGAAACATATTAGACTTCCTCTGGACATGTTATGGTGGTAGGAATATCAAAATTCCGTCCGAGTCACGAACCGCCCTCCACAGATGCAAAATCCGTGAAGTTGAATCACGTTTCGGTTTCAGCCTGTGGATTTCCGAATATCTAAAGCCGAAATGGGTCGGCAGCGCATCTTGCTTAGATGGTTTAGCTGGGATATTTCACCTACCATCAAATGATATCGAATGCTTGTCTGTCCTCTTTTATCAATAAAAATGTGTATACGAGCTTATTCATGGTTATACATATAATTATAATATGTTGTCGATTATTTATTAATATTGATTAAATTAATTTAACTTTTAAACTAAGGCTCAGTGTTATATTTGTATTAAAGCATTAAATCAGAACAGTTAAGCACTCATTGCTGTATCGCACCACAATGGAAAACAAACGAATCGTACTTTTAATTGAACCACATTATCGGAACGATACAAAACGTAATTACACGTTCCCCATTTAATTGTCAGTCATTTGCGAACGTGAACTACGTTTTAACGTTACTTACGTTTGAAGTTTGAAGTTGTTTTTTTCAATAATATTATCAGTGATCACAATTATAAAGGTTTCAAATAATAAAAGGATAAACATTTAATTGCAATCAAATGCTCGTTACACTAGACCAAGTATAGTCGTTAATCTATACTGATATTAGCTGAAGAGTTTGTTTGTTTGAATGTGCTAATCTCGGGAACTACTCGACTCGAATTATTTTTGTGTTGGATTGACCGTTAATCGTGGACGGCTTTAAGCTATATAACACCGCTGTGATCATTAGGGAAAAAACAGGGAAAATTGTCAAAAAATAGGGGAAAATAAACATCTTTGAGAGTTTCCGTTGCATGCGTTGCGAAAACAATAAAAAAAAAATAGATATGAAAGAATGATTCCTCTTTAAGTGCCCGCAACAATTAAAAAGATTAACTAGAAAGACCCTTTTTTAAGGTAATCAAAATTTTGGACGTAGTTAATACATTAGTTTGTTACAGTTGTATGAAAAAAATAATATTAAAATAAAACACTTTAACGGTTTAAAACGCGATATATTAGTTAAACTTATTTGAAAAGGTCTCCCGGTGACCACGGCTGCTGCAAAGCATCCGAAACGTCGGACCGAAGTTAAAAATCATTTTCAAATAAGTTTCACTAATATATCGCGTTTTAAACCGTTAAAGTGTTTTACTTAAATGTGTACTACTCGCGTAAACTATCGACAGTATATAATAATATTAATCTTCTAAACGTCAACGTCTATCGGATTTCTTTAATTTTTATGATTACAACCACATATACAAATTTGTAGGAGTTAAATAATTACTTAACTTAATCTAATACTTGATATAAATATCGTCAGTTTAATAAATGACATTGTCTTAACAACAGGGAACAACATAATGATCAGGGAAATATTCGCTATACTCGTAATTATTATAAGAGTATTCCGATTTCTATTGGGTAGCACGCGATCATTCATGATCTGATAAACACGGGGAAACGCTTGCGCCGATCTGTGTCACGAATATTTTGCACGTAGTAATAAGATTTAGGCGTCAATTAAAATATAGAGATTGTGCGCCACAGTTTTTTACTTAAAGACGTTATTAACTGTACAATAGTAGCTACTTTAAATACTGTCTATAGTTTACGCGAGTAGTACACATTTAAATAAAACACTTTCACGGTTTAAAACGCGATATATTAATTAAACTTATTTGAAAATGATTTTTAACTTCGGCCCGACGTTTCGGATGCTTTGCAGCAGCCGTGGTCACAGGGAGAAAATCATTTTCATTTAAATAAAACACTTTAACGGTTTAAAACGCGATATATTAGTTAAACTTATTTGAAAATGATTTTTAAGCCGGCCCGACGTTTCGGATGCTTTGCAGCAGCCGTGGTCACGGGGAGACTCAAATAAGTTTAACTAATATATCGCGTTTTAAACCGTTAAAGTGTTTTATTTAAATGTGTACTACTCGCGTAAACTATAGACAGTATTTACGTAGTTACGTATTAACTATTTTAACTACTCTTCTTTTTATTGCGTTCTTATTATTCTTTATCCATCTGTCTGTCTGGTCTATCTAATCCCTATGAAGGCAATGCTTAAGTTAATTTCGTTCTTAGTTTAAACTGTGCTACAAGTGGTCCTGAAAGACGTTTTAATTTGTGCCGATTCAAATATTTAGATTCTACGCGGAAATGACGTCACAACATCCATTCTCACGACACGCACCTTACCGTTCACTAGACAACTGTATCAAGGCTGTGACATTTACCATTCTATGGCAATTGTAACATAATACATAGAATTTAACACGCTATTTATTATAGGGCACAACCTATCGTACTGCGTTTTTGGTTGAAACTTCATCTTTAGACGTGAATTTTAAAACTAAAAAAAACATCTAAGTTAAACACTTTAACTGTTTAAAACGATCGCTACTGTTGATTATCGAATATAATTTAAAAATCGAAAGTAAATTGAAAATAAATTCGACTCGAGCTGGAACTTGAACCGGCATCGTCAGCGTTCCGTGCTGTTGCTCTACTAATTGAGCTACCGAGTCCTACACCTCATCGTCGACTTTTTTCAATTTATTGATACATGCACCTCACGCGCAATGTCAACTCCAAGATTGTTTAATAAAAACTATGAAATACCTGTGTAGGCAAAGATTGCTGTCCCGCCCACCGTTGGCTGAACGCTACAATTGGAGCCCCATAGGGCAACGGCGGAAAATCTCCAGGGAACACAACATGGTCACAGTTCATGAGGATCTGTAGTTGCAGTGCTCTGTCCACCTGGACTTTGCAGCGGCAGGGATAGCGAAGGTCGTCGTTTAGTTCAGAGCATGGCACCCAGGGTTGCTGGCACAACGCCAACGGAATGAAGAGAAGGAGTATCCACATGATGCCCTGAAAAATAACGATAATTAGTAAAAAAAATTGTGAAAATAAACGAGGATAAAATTGAGAGCTTTGATTGCCAACGCTGCAGAAACGGCTCAAAAAACCAAACAATAACCGTTTCTATGAAAATCAAATTTGATTAAAATAAATTCATTATTATAAATTAGTTATTCGAGTTGTATAACCATTAAAATATTAATCTGTCAAACAACTAAACAACGTTTTGCCGGATCAAGTAGTTATTATTATACAACTACACAAAATGTTAACATTCACAATATACAAAGGTTAAGTTAAAGATTAGGTATTGACTATCAAACGACAGTTTTTACATAAAAAATACTTAATTAAAAATAACATAAAAGTATTTCGGTGTCATATTAATTTTAATTCCAATATTGGTTAGCTTATAAAACAAAAATAGAAAAATGGAAAAGCTCAGCAGTTCATGAAAAAGTGTTTTGCATAGATAGCCTTTGCATTTTTAATGAAAAACATACAATCACTTTGTTTACCTGACCAACAGGGAATAGAGAAAACTTGGCTTCAATGTTTTTAATAACTCGTCTCATACGAATAATAGCATATAATAATATTCGATCGCATTTAACGGTTTTATACACAAATTTAGTTATTTATTTTATAACTCCTCTAGCAGCCGTTTTCACTGTTTATAGAATTTTCTTCAATGTTGCTCGCGTGTGCGGTCGTCCTTTAAAACATATGTGTTATATATTTAAAAAAAAAAAAAAAAAAAAAAAAAAAAAAAATTAAAAAAAAAAAATTAAAAAAAAAAAAAAAAAAAAAATTTTTTTTTTTAAAAATTAAAAGTTTTTTTTTAAAATGGGCCCCCCCCGCGAAAACAAAAGACAGTATTAAATATGTGTTATATATTTTATTTTCTTTTTAACGCCAACATGATACAACACTTAGAAAACCCACTAGGTCAAAATGCAATTACAGACTGACTAAAAAAGCATTCATCTAGTATTAGCGTACTTTTCAATAATAGTAAAGATAACTACTATATTTAACTAAACGTTCATTAATTATTTGCCGAGTTATAATAAAATTAAATCAATGTTAGTATTTGGCAAAAATATATTCTCGTGTACTAATATCATACATTTTAGCTAGATATTGTTAGATTATATCTATGTTAGATACATAGTTTTATTTGGGTTAGAGTTATAATGGTAGAAATGTATGGCTAATAATTACGACTCGGGGTTGACTGCCTCCTACCAGGTCCAACATTGTTCTAATCTATTTATGTTTTTTTTAACTTGTTTGACGTCACCTAGAAATCTGGATATTAAATCGATGTTATGAATACACTAGCTCACAACACCCATCGACCGAGATTAAGAAGACGTGAAGTTTAATCGCGTTACGAATTTCAGTCTGTGGATTTATATCCAAATACAAAATAGGTTGGCATCTAGTTTAGATGTTATATGACTAGAATATTTCACTTTCCACTAAGTGAACTTCATACTCATAAAAGTTAGATTGTCTCAAAATTTTAAATTAAATATTATTGCTTGAAAGATTTCTTGAAAGAATGCCGGCAGTGACATGAATTGCTCCTTAGGTTTTAATTCATAAAAGTGTATTGGTTTATAAGATATGTTGACTGTTGGACTGAGTTTCTTGTGTGTTCTTCTCGGCCATGTTCTCGGCTCTTTGGAACATAATGTAGAATCACATAAACAAATATTTTCGACGAATTTAAATAATTTTTGAAATTTTAAAGAGAATAAAGTATCATAATCGTTAAGTTTTAATAGTTGCATCGTGAATCCCAGGTGACAATCTGCATCCGGCATATATCCAGCACCTATACCAAACAAACAATGCATGCTCCAGCACTATTATCTAACTAAATTAACAGATCTATTAGCTAATACCCAACAGACTGGTGTTTGGTTATAACAACTGCAGTCTCAATTAGTCGATAATATTAATTAAGGTTGTTATTCCGATAGTCCTAACCAATCTATCTAATATATAACATTCTCGTGTCACAGTTTTCGTTGCCATACTCCTGATTCAAACAAGGACAGGCACAGAAATATTTCTGTTTTATACGCCACGCCCTAGTATATAAGACTTTCACTTAACTCGACATTTGCACACATTTTACATTTAGCTCATAGTTACATCATCATACAACAATTATAAAATCCGTTACATCTATAATAATGCAAAATACATACAAACGAGAAACATATACATAATTACATACGGAAGAAGGAAGGAAGTTAAAATTGATGTCTGCTAAATCATAGAGCATAAAATTTTCATAAAACAAGCTTAAGGAACGATTTGTTTTACAAGAATGTATGTATGAATAAATTCGTTTTGATTTTATATTCTTTTTATGTTCGCTTTGTGGTTACACGGAGCCATAATCATTTATGAAAAAGTATTTCTTAGGTTTGAAAGGTCATTTAAAAGGTCAAACGTATAACTTAACGCAATTAACAACTAAACAATAGATTATTAACAGCTGCTATTTTTTATGATAGAGGAGGACTACGTGGAGTTGATAGTAGGCGAAATACACCAACCATGCAACATTTAAATAAGATACGTTGACTTAGATATACGAAAATCCACAAGTCTGAAACGGAAATACGATTGATTAAGCTTGACGGCTGTTTCTTCTGTCGACGGTGGTTGGACCCGGACGGAATTTCGATATTCCTATCTCCTATTTAATATCCAGATAAAATCTTAGAATGCGCGGGAGGTGCAAGTATGAAGAGGTGAAAAAAATTCTACGAAGACGTTCAAGTCTTGCCCACGTCGTACATTTTTTTACAATCTAAAATCGATTTTTAATTTAGATAATGTCATCACGTGATAAATATTACAGGTGACAAGTGAAGATCTTATTTAACTCTGCCCCTAAACTTAAAGTTAAATAATAAAAAATATTTATCATTAGATATATTTAATCTTTTCCGGTTAAGCTTCGCAAAACTTTGATGAAAATCTTTAGAAAACAGCAGGTAATAACCTACTTATTTACCTCTTCACCTCTACACTGACACAAATCCATACACAGACAGAAACAAGTGCATCTATCGTCTTTTGTTATAATTAAAAAATACTCGTTGTTCCTTGTTATTCGCCTAATCTAATTTTGTATTCCCAAACTATATATGAGGCTGCTAGAGGCAGAGTGGCCTAGTAACAAAAACGTGATTTTCGATAAGGAGGAAAATAAAATTGCGCAATTAACGAAAATAAATTTATAATTTGTGTAAGAATTATGTTAACAATTTTCGCTCACTGCGCTCTTGTAGATTAACATTTAAAGTATTAAACAATACATGACTTAAGTCATAAAATTCTAGTTAGGCTACTCCGCTACTAGCGGCCTCAAATTAACTTTTTAAATGAGCCGTAAGGAGTACTATAATATATAGATAAAGAACTACCCCCTTGTAGAAATAACATTATATTACTATTAACCCCTAAGGTATGTTACTTTAGTCACAGAACATAGTTCTCTATCCTCTCCTTGAAAACGCGCTTCAATTTCCCCAGCACATTATGATTTCATGAAAGTTTCATGGCCAATTTCTCGTTATAAGCTATTTACCCAAGTTTCACATTCGTTCTCTTCTCGTACTGAGGACAATCTAGTTACGAGTTGCTCTAACTCTGACCGTGCATTAACACAATTTACCCGAGTATACGCTAAAGATGCTAAATGCCTTTGTGTAATACCGCTATGTTCATATGAAAACTTTCACTAACCATATAGCTGGTCTGCTTATCTATGGTCTTGGTAGGGTACTAAATATGCATATCTATACTGAAGAGTTTGTTTTGTTTATTTGAACGCGGTCATCTCAGGAACTGCAGATTGATTCTTTTTGTGTTTGGTTACTTTTCGGGATTTTAGGATATAAAACAGCCTTGCTAAACAAGAAGATACAGCGATAAATTTGACAGAAATTGGGAAAATTATTCATCATTATGGGTTTCCGAGGCGTACGCTGCAAAAGGTTAAGATACAAAAAAATATAATGAATAATAGAAAAAAAATGATTTCTCTTAAAAATGATCTAAAAAAAAGTCTACGACGCTATATGCTCTATCTTTTAAGATTATCTTGCAAGAACGACGGGAAGGGACGCGACCGACGTCGCGGGTAACAGCTTACGTTTATAAAGATGAAGAGGTTTGCAAAACGAATTTGGATGCCCATAACGATTCTCGCGGACGAAGTCGCTGACACAGCTTGTATATAATAACATATAATTATATTTAAAATTGTACAATTATGGTTACAACAGCAGTACGGAACGCTGTAGATGCCGGTTCAAATCGCGCCAATTTGTCTATGTCTTAGATATGTTTTTTGTTTAAAATGCACCGTATTACACGTTTACTAATTTTACTAATTCATTGTTACTGATTGGGAATGCACATAAAGATTTTACGGTTTTAAACAGTTAGAAGTGTTTAAATGGACACCATTCGTATGGACTTCAGACAATATTTAATATTGTTTAACTCATCATGTCCTATTTATAATTATATTGAAGTCTGATAGTACAATAATAGTGGACTGGATTACACCCAGCATATTTGTTATATATATCTAAATTTATGTATTTCCATATTTTATATGATTTGAACTTTCTTACGCGTTCGTTTTTCGTTAAACCTTTCTCACGTTTGGTCTTCAAGAAAAAGCTTAAATGTTAGTCACCGTTGTCTATTTAAAACAAAAATGAATACGCAAGTTTCAAGAGACCGCATGTTAAAGCAATTAATGAAAATGAATTTAATATTCATTGGCAACGTTGTTAATTAATGTGAGTGCTCGCAGACTATCAATATTTATTAATAACTGCGCAATGCTCATCCGTGTTCGGTCTGCTTCAACAGTAGTGATTCAGACCAAATCATAGATTAACGAATTCCTTTCGCCTAACAGACTCGAGCTCTACGCAAATTTAATGACCACAGATTATCCAATCCATATCTCTTACATGAGTGCGATCTCCTTTGACAAAATAAATCGTACGCTATTATTTTGTAATCAGCTGGTCCGGCAAACGTTGTTTTAAATACTGTCTGTAGTTTACGCGAGTAGTACATATTTAAATAAAACACTTTAACGGTTCATAACGCGATATATATTAGTTAAAATATTTGAAAATTATTTTATTATCTGGCCAGCCAGTCTCACCAAATACCAACTATGATGGAACAGATGGCGCTAGCGTAGCATTTTTACTTTGACTTTGATTCTGAACCCTCGTCCCTCCATCTTTAGTCTCCCCGTGACCACGGCTGCTGCAAAGCATCCGAAACGTCGGGACGTTGTTCAAATATTTTTCAAATAAGTTTAACTTCATATATATTGCGAGAAAGTGTTTTATTTAAAATCTTTGATTTGAAGATAGACATATACTGCCGCAGACATTTTTAGATCATTTGAATTTTTTTATACATTTTTTGTTGGTATCTTGAACCATTTTCGCAGTGTACGCAACGAAAACCCACAAAGATGATTTTTCCACATTGCCCTCTGTTTCTTCGCTCA